GCATTTCCGCAGGCTGCTATAGCTGCGCCATAACCAGCAAGTCCGAAAGCTGCGTCTTGTGATGAAATTCTTCCGGCCACTAAACCTCACTTGCTGCTGCATCTCTTCACTCGTATTCGCGCACATACCGTTCTCGCAAAGCTTTCGCTCCGCGCATCTAGAATTTAGCTAGCTTCGGCACCAGGGCCATAACTCCCAAACCGCCAAGCCACAAGCAACCGCCAGCTGCCATTGCGATGATTTGCACAGTGCTGAGATGCCTGCATTGGCCGCTGCTTCGTGTCCTTCAGGGATGCTTCAGGTCTTTCGGCCGAGCATGATTGCACCAAGGCTTCGGTAGATGAAGCTTCGGGTTTCCCGAGCCCTAAAGTCAAGCCTACTCGAGATCACTGCATGGTTTTCGTGTAAGCTCGAGGACTGTAAACCCACACTTAGCTGTAAGCCCGAAAGCCTTCAGAACCCCGCAGCCTTTTGCATCAGCCACAGCCGACCACAGCAGCAGCACCGCCTCCCAGACCCTTGCTTCCTGGGCTGCTGCTGGGAAATCTCTGTGCGCTGCCGGCTACTGAAGTTGCACCCTTACCCTTACTACATACTGCACTGTACTCATCACGTTGTATTCCAAAGCATAGAAGTGTCAATGCAGCACATCACACTGCAAGGACATGCACGGCGAAAAAATCAGCCACAGCCCTACGAGTCGAACACGTTGCAATGGACAGGTTTCTGTGCAGAATGACACCACACCTTCAAGAGTTTGGAGTGTAGGGTCGACAAAGCATGTTGCAAATTGCAAGCAATCCGGGCGTGATGCACTTTGATCTGAGATCTGTGGTCTAGCTCTGTGCTTGCTTTACCCACCGACCTCACGTTCGTTCGAAAGACTGCTGAAGCCTCTTCTGCCTCAGGAAATAGCGGCGCAAGCGCTGTTTCATGCACCTCCCGCACAAGGACATACCCAAAACCTCGTCGTATGCTTTATTTTCGGCATAGCGACGTTGCACTCGCGAGACATGGAACACCTCAGGCCCCCTTGCATTCCCCACAGCAGCCATGCTGGAACCGAAGGATCGTCCACTCAGACCCCATCACGTTCCCCAGAGTATCCATGGCCGATACGTAGTAATTTTCACTCCGACCCCATCCCATTTCCTCTAATCATCCATGCCAGAACCGTGATGACGTCCACCCGTCCCATTCTGCAGAGCATCAATGACGCTGTAATGAATGGCCAAGCCGTCACAGTGTCCACTCTGAACCCATGCCCTTCCCGAGAGCATCCATGCCCGAACAGTAGTAACGTCCACTCAGACCCCCTCCCGTTCTCCCCAAGCACCCATGCCCGAACCACAACAACGTCCACTCAAATACCCTTCCGTTTCTCAGAGCATCCATGCCCGAACCGTAGTAACATCGACTCAGACTCCATCTCTTTCGCCAGAGCATCATCCATGGCTGAACGGCTGCTTTGCCCAGCAAGGACCAAAAGAATCCGTGCAGGGTACTTTCCTTGTATTGAAGCTTCGGAATGTGTCCTTTATCCCACGAAGGCAAAACTTATCTGACGTTCTGACTGGCGTGCTTCGTGCACTCGACAACAGGGTCGGCGCATTGCTTTAACTTTAACGGCTCCTACTCCTAATGCAGTTTGACCATGAACAGCTCGAACCACAAACCCATTAGCTTCCGTCCGCAAATTGCTTCAACAGCCCAGTGTCTCCTGCAGAGGTGATCGCAGCTGTGCCATGCTTCAGCCTTGCACGGCAAATGGAGGCTGGGTTGCCAAGCAGTGGGGCGAGCATGGGCGAACACTGAATAAAGGGCTTGCTGTTTGCTGTAGGGCATTGACCATCGGCAGTTGGCTGCGGTATCGCAGCGGCAGCAGACAACAAGGAATCTCTGCAGCAAAAGCGAGCAATGAGCAACCAGGAAAAATCGATCGAGCAACGCCAGGCATCTAGCGGGGTTAGGGCCGGGAATGCCGAACACCTGACCTTTTCTTGCAACCCACAACCCAGTCACGCTCACATGCAGTCTAGTCTATGGGCCCGTGAGACTTGCCTTGTGGAGGACGTTCCAAACACAGCACCAACAACGGCAAGTCGCCTTTCTAGGACACTTTAATATCTCTTTATTAATGCAAACACCTGGAACCTACCTGTGCACCGCTCTCCGGGATGGAGAACTGCAACACTGCAAGAGTTTGGTGCGACATGCAGCAATGACTACTGCGTAAAGCTCATGCGCAATATGAGTTGCAATTAAACGGTTGTCGTGTGGTGTCGACTCTCACATTCGCACACGCAAGGTTTCACGATCACACGTCTCAGCACAAACTACAACAATGCACCAACCAGTCATAAACAATCATAGCGACATGGCACGCAGGAACAGCAAGACATGACGGCCACAAGGCACTGGTTTCGACGCTCACACTCGCACATGCAAGGCTCCACACAAGCTGGTTCAATGTGCAAGCGGCATGCATAGGTTTGGTCATGCGGATTGTCGGCTCCCGTTTCCGTCTTTTGAATCGTCGTGGGCGATGCCCCTATGGCCAGACATACAAGGCACCGGTCTAGAGAAGGCACTGTTATCCTAACTCCTCCAAAGTGCAAAGTAGCCCCGTGCTTGGCTCGCAGAAGGGTCAGCGCTGCATCCTTGGAGCACGGATCACCGATCACAGGACAAAGGAGGTTTTCAGGCTGGCAGACCGTTCTAGTTGACCTTAGGATTCAGTATGTCTACAGTAGCCTGAGGTTTGTCTACAATGGCAGGAGGATGCAGCCACTACGAAGGGCCAGCCCCTGCAGCATTTGCACACATCCAGGCTCGTGCGTGCCCATTCGCGTGCACAGTCGCAAAACATCGCCTCTCGGTCTGGGGACGTTTACTCGTTTCACCGCTCCTTTCCGTGTGACCACTCCTGAAAGTGTTGACGGCTGCGTCACACTCCTTTCCGTTGTGCCATGTCCTCTTGGGGCTCCGGGTGCTATCGCGACCCGCACACTCGCTCGAGGCAGGCACGGATTCTCAAGCACTAGAGTTTGGGGATTTGCTTTTGGGGTTAAGGAGGTTTGGGCTCTGGATTGAAAGGAGGGTTTGGGCTTCATGGTTTAAGGCTTAAGGGGTTTTGAGGTTTGGTGTTGGCCACCCCTGCACTGATGGGGTTTAATTACGGCCTTATATACTGCGTTTCGGCGCCTGCCGCGCGAGGTTCTCCTTGTTTAATCGGTTGGACGGGAGACCTGTATCCGACTCTGTTCAACAACATAGAGAAACTATAAACACTGCAACTACCAAGAGCGTAGGGTGGGCTTTTGCTTTTCGGGTTCACGGGTGAGGCGCACTCCCGGACCCCAAAACAGGTGCACAGTGTGCGTTCGAGAAACATTGTGCACAAGTCCGCATGGGCGAGTGACATTGACAGAAAGGCTGGCTTCCGGCAAACTCTCAGAAATGCCGAGTTCTGCAACATGACAGGTTGTGACTTACGTTGCATACAAAATTCTCGAAGCAGCTTCAACACGACCACTGCGTAATCAAGCGTGCTTGAAAGCTCTCGGGCCGGGAGGACTTCGTTGACGGGGGCTCAGTATCCAAAGTGCATATCAACAAGGGCTCGGACCCAGTGCGACTGCTTCACCAGCTGCCGCAAATCTGCACGGCGTCGGGCGCGGAGCCTTTCCGACAAGAAGTTCTCGTCAGTGCGTGTGCATGCCTACAACTGAGACTTTACATGCTATCTGCTTCATCAGACTGTGAAAGGGCGCGTGTGTAGCTGATAACTAACTGTTAATGAAATTTGAAGACTGCACGAGGTCTAGTGAATGGAAACTAAGCCGTCGTCCCGCTTTTGTTACCCAATTGCTCGCGCCAAGAAATCCTCCTTCAGAGATCTCTCTCGACCGCAAGGTTTAGCATGGTTTAGAGTGTTTTGGGCATGAGCTGTCCGTAACTCTCGATCAAAAGGCGTGGATCTTGTCGTGCTTACTCTTGTTCGATCCGCATCCCTCCATCAAGCCTGACAACAGACCTCGACGGGGCCAGAAGTCGAATCAGTAGCAGTAGTAGCAGCAGAAGTAGTTGTAGTAGTAGTAGTAGTAGCAGCAGCAGTAGCAGCAGCAGTAGCAGTAGCAGTAGCAGTAGCAGTAGCAGTAGCAGTAGCAGTAGCAGTAGCAGTAGCAGTAGCAGTAGCAGTTGTTGTTGCTGCTGCTGAAGTAGCAGCAGCAGTAGCTAGCAGATGTCGTAGAACTAGTCGTAGTGGTCTTGGTACTGTTGTAAGAGTAGTGGTAGTACTAGTAGGACTAGTAGTACTAGTAGTCGTAGTAGTAGTAGTAGTAGTAGTAGTAGTAGTAGTAGTGGTAGTAGTAGTAGTAGTAGTAGTAGTAGTAGTAGTAGTAGTAGTAGTAGTAGTAGTAGTAGTGCTAGCAGTGAAAGTAAGATGGAAAGCAGCAGCGACATTGGTAGTTCTCGAGTTGCTGTTGGCTTTGGGATGGCTTGTCCTCTTGACAGACAATCTAAGGCAATCTAAGGCTAAGAATGCTAATGATCTCCCAATGCCCCCAAACCACATTTCGAACATTCTCGCTTTGCGAGAACCTGCAACTGCAGCTCGGGCTTCGCCTTGAGCTTTCAATTCGGCTTACCGAAGGATGCAGGGCCGGAGCGAAGGTGCTTGTTCACTTTTCGAGGCTTTCTGCATGCAGGCTCTCGGACCCTCATCCTTCACGAGCCACGGGCCACCAGGGCTTCAGATCAAATCACAGGCTGTGGATCGCCGTGAGAGGCTCTGTCGCGACTAGGGCCCCTGAGATCGTCTGAACTTGCCCCACACTCCACATCTAGCAGCCAGCACATCTGGGGTATAAGATATGCAGATGTAGTTGCTTGCGTCATTCATACATCCCAAACTCCGAACATAGCCCGTCTCGGCGTTGCGCTTGCACAATCAAGCCAGTCATTTCTCATGCCGTTGGCGCATTCCAAATCTAGCCCTCTCAGGGGCTGGCTACCTCGCCAAGAACGCTTGTCACCTGATGTCAGGCCAACCCCCCCCCCCCCCGTATCAAACCCCAGGCCCAGGCTGTGGCTGGACAGGCCGAACCCTGATCAGACCCATCGTTGTAGTTTGAATTGGGTTCTTGCTTGATGTAATAAACAGCGATGCTGACCACAACTTCGTGTTGGCCACTGTTGCTTAAAGCGAAGAAGTTCGACAATCACGAGGAAGGTGATAACTCCAAAGGCAAATCCATGCGACATTTACCATGATGACATCGCGGCGAAGATGCCAGCCTACGAAAACGACGTCTTTCTTGAGGGTCGTCCCCGCAACAGGACACGTCCGAATGCCTTTAGCCCTTTTGACCCAGATGCGGTGGATCCGCAGTTGCCAAAGACTCTGAAGTCCTGGAGTCCGACCAAATTAAGGGAGAGGTGCAGTCCGCGCAAGCGGCCCAAGTGTTGTCTTTGCTGCTGCAGCAGTTGCCGTGGACGGCTGGGCCTGGGCTTGAGGCCTAGGACCGACAGGCATAGCCTTTAGGACTTGTGAAGTTGAATGAATCGCTGGGGGTTGCCAATCTTGGGCTGAATGTCAAAATGAAACGAATCTCCTTTCGAGCAGCGCCGGCTCGAACAAGACGATCGGCAGCATCCTCCAAGATGAGGAGGCTTTCGACCCATCAGCTAGATTAAGATCTAGGTTATTATCTCGGGTGCAGCCAGACTCCAACTAATTTCAAAATATCCCCACATGAAAGCGGGTTCAGCTGGGGTACCACCTTCTGTAACACACAGCGAACAAGAAGACAATCAACAGAAACAGTGACACTGACAACAATAAGCCATACTCATAAGAGCTACCATGAAAACAATCGTCGAGAAGTAGTAGCAGTTCTAGCCTAGCTTACAAACGAAAACGGTTTTCAAGATGCATATCGGCATTGTGTCCTGTGCATTCTTGTGCGATTGGGCAGTTCCGGCATCTCTCAGGGGCACAAATGCTTGTGCGAAGTCCGGGAGTCAGAATTTACACCGACAGCCCATGTCGGCCATGTCAGCTTGAGTACGTGTCCTTGTTTTGCCCTTTATTCCAGGCTGTGTTTGTTTTGCAACCGGGCATGCCTGCTTGGTGAGTCGCTGTTAGTCCAAATATGGTGTCTGTCTCTTGACTGCCGTGTATGTCCCAGACGGCATGGCTTGACACTTGCGGAGTACTCGCCGTCCCAAGCCTGACTTATCAAGACCAGGTAAATCAGGTAAATGGAACGTGCACAGCTAACTTACGTAAAGTCTGTACTCTCCCTCCTCAAATCGCAACCTGGGTCCCACTCCTCTGATTTAGGTCTAGCATCTGCTGGAGCTCTCAAGCCACACGACGCGAGCATTCAAGCACTCCCAAGCCCGAAGCTTCAATGGAATCTACTTCCAGAGCGTTACTCATCTCTCGCAGAAGCACGTGGTGGAACGAGAACCCCCTACTTGTAAGACCCAGAGTTGCTTCAACGAGACCCGCAACCCGAGGCCGGACTCGAAGGGCCCTTCTATACCTTTCATAAAACTTCACCGAAGCTTCCACCCCAAAAATCTGACCACTCGGAACAGAAATCAAGGCCTCTTGATCTTCTTTGGCCGCCTTAGTGGGCTTAGCAGACGACGTCGAAAGTTTCTGCCTTTTCGGCCTTTGTCTACGTCTGTGGCAATGGTTTGGAGTTCCAGGTTTGAGGCCTGTCGAGAACAGCGGCAAAGCAACACTGACATACTGCGATCTCGCAGCTCTGTTCACCCTTCCGTCCGCTTGAATTGTGGTAGCATCAGATCTGCCTATAAAGATGGCCCTTGTGGACTTCCATCTGGGCAATCATCTGTCTAGGGTGTCGAATCATTCCCAGGCTCCATGAAGAGTGGTGTCCATCCGTCGTCCGTTGCAGCATCGACGCTGGCGCCTTCCAGGCGCGTGACTCAAAATATTCAAGTTCAAATTGTATACACCTTCAGCATAAACGGCAACCCCGGTTTTCATACCTCAAAACTTGCACCTCATGAGTTAGAACCTGGGGGTTTCGGTTCGAGGTTGCAACAGGGCTCGATCGGCCGGCCTCAATGCGTTGAAACATCTCCCCGAGTGCTGATGGAATGCGGGCTAGCAACTTTACGGGCTGAGGTAACCCATGTGCTGTGAGGCACAGGAAAGACTGGGCCTGGCCTCCGGCAATCAAAACGTCGATTACCTGCCGTCGACATGAGAGGGTGGCTTTAGAATTTTAGACATGTGCCGACTTGGGCTAAGGTAGCTAGTTCGATATGTGAAAGTAGAGTAAAACCTTGCCTGGCGCACCCCGGCCTGCTTTTAAGGAGGTGGGCCAGAAAGAGCGAACAACTTCACGCACTTGACACCAGACCCATAGTGGAAAAATCAAGCCCGCCAAGCCGTGCTCAAGCTACGGTCCTGACATGTGCAAGCTATACTGGCAGATCAGCATGAGGAATAAGGACGAAAACCCCTACCCGCTGGGCGGAGGAGGCCCCGCGCACCAAAGGCTTTTTAAGAGTGGGGCTTGTGTTTGGCCATCCTCGCGAGCCAAAGCAATTTTTGCCCAATCCTTTTGTCACCACAACCTATAAACGGAAATTAGCACGGCCCGCACATGTGTTCATACGACTAAGCCATTTGAATGTCATGCTGTCCGAATATCCAGGCCGTGAACTCTGCCATAGCCGCCTCGCCGAAGCCGTGGTGCGCGGCCAGGTGTAGCGCGGTCCATCTGGATGAAGGTGTCAGGCTCTCAGGCATGTGATTTCATTCCAGATCGGAAGCACGGCCTGTTAAAGTAGACGTGTGGCCTAATTTAATCACTACTACTGATACTGGGTTTAAGCCCGCCTGTTCATGCGAGATAGTTGAGGCTTCCAGTTCTTCCTGTGTCACGTTGAGTTCCTTGAGGAGACAATATACACGAACTACATCTCACCATACCTCGACAAATGTACTCATCAAATCATCAAGCACTATCGCTTGCTGTTCCGAGCCGGAAAACTTGAATATTACAACCCACAGTGTGCAGAATTTTCGGGATCCATGGTTTTCCAACCCAACCTCAGCCTCAAAAACAGGAAAACTGAATTTCTGAAGCGCCCACCTGCTACTACCAACTTTGACTCAGAAGTGGAAGCTCGGAGTCTTCAGCCCAAGTCCAGAACACTCAAGCCTTAAACCCGAATTTCACTGTCGTCGGCAAAGGAGCTGGCACATGCAGTAAAGCAAGAGATTCTCAACCTTGGGGTTAGGCCTGCGTAGCTACTCACTTGGCGTCGCATACTGCATATAAGAGGCACGGGACTTATGCGCCGCTGTGCCGGGCCCAACAATCAACAATCCGCAACATGTTCAAGCTCTACATCACTAAGTTGCAATGTTTGACCTAGAATCCTAGAACTCTCCGTCCGAAAGCTCTCAATCCTCCACGAAACAGCCAGCACCAACCCTGAGAAAGACAAAGCGGCCCCTTGGGCATGGTGATATCCGGAGGAGTGCGGGCCTGGTCTGGAATTTGGTTGAAGGCTTTAGGGCCGTGGGGCTTTGGGATGGCTTTGCCTGATGGCTTCAAGCCGATTCAAGCCCGGACGGGATATGGTAAAGGACAGCATGTGCAAGAGAGACGCAGCTGAGTCTTACGGTGCTGGTGCCCTCGTTCATTGGACTATTGGTGCCCGCATGCAAGCCCTGAGCATCGGGGACGATGTCCGGCTTCTTGGAAAGGATGTCGAGCAGACTTTAGCTTTTGGTGTTAGGGCGAGGACAGAATATGAAATAAACCAAGGTCGAGGCCCTCATCACAGTGAGCATGAACTGTTGGACTACTGTGCGAATCTTGCAAGATGGCAGACGCAAAACAAGCTGTCGACGGTGTTGTCACTGCTGCGACGGAGATGACACGTGGCACTCAGTTGTGGTTCCGAACAACCCTGCCCTTGTTGCTGAACACCTCCCAAACCGAGGAGGACCGCAGGCCGTAGGCACAAAATGAAACGAATCTCTCGAATTCGAACCACAGCCCTGCCTCCAGCAGCAGCTGACAAACTGTCGCATAACCGGTGTATGCCTTTGGCAACGCTGTTGTGTCTGATCTGGGTAGCTGCGTGAATCCCTTTTTTTGCAGCAGGCCTCGCTGCGTGAATCCCTTACGACCGAGACAAACTGGCAGCAAGGAGCGCACGCTATTACTTTGAGAGTGCTTTATGATGTGCTACTGCATCATTTCTGGCCGAGCCAATTCCGAAATTCTGCATCCAAACCTGCTGAAGTCGAACCCTCATCACCTTTCCAGGTGTTCGGAGGGAGGTCACACAAACCGCGCTGGCAAGACATGCGGATCCACCGGCAAGGGGTTCTCGAGCGAACTTGTGAGAACAGCAGTGTGTCTCATGTGGAAAGCTATCGGGACACCAGCCGACGACCTCGTCCGACATCGTGCATCTGATGGATCCAGACCAAGATTCTACAGGACGAGACCTAGACTTTGGGCTGCTTTTCAAGGGTTCGCGGTTTTCGATCTGGGACTTACCAGTCGGCTCAGACATGCTCAGTGTGGGTCCTGTCGTTCAGATTCCGGACATGATGGGCTGTACGCCTTGTGTAGCAAAGATGCATCGCATCCACAACTTTGCTTCTTTTCGTGGTCTCAGTGGCTGAGGACACGCAGGATGCAAACTGCGAGAGGAGATGTTATGAAGCGGAAGAATCGAGGGAAGGGGACGAGGCGGCAAAGTGTAGTGAGTAGTGCGACTCTAATCATAAACAAAAGGCCTCCATGCCCAGATCTATGAAGAAGCGTATTATTGCTGTCGCGATGTTGGGCATTCAGGCTTAGGACACGGTCTCCCGGGAGGCAGGAAGTTCAAACTCCGATGTAAGGTAGTGCCAGCTTAATCACGGCAACACGATCCCTCGCTTGGACATCGAAACAGAACCACTGAAATCGGGAGTCGCTCTGTGGCCGTACTGGCCATGGAAATTGAAAGCTATTTTGGGAAAGGCTCAGTGCAGCCTGAACATTAGCTAATGATTAGCTTGTGGCAATGCTTCCTGATGATTCTGATGTCGTGTGTCGACATGGCGACGCAAGGATTATAGTGGCATGGGTCCCAAACAGCTGCAAGATCGACGGTGTAAAGATTCGGAGGCAGAAGCGGTTCTTGCAGCCACAGCATGCGCATCCTCACCGCATCAAACGGGTCAAGGGTATGCAGGGGTTGTTCTTCCGAGGTCTTTTCCTCGTGACTAGACTAAAGCATGGCCCCCCCACCCCCACACTTGTTCACACACACACACACACACACCATAATCTCTGTTCATACAAATGCGGCCACACAGCCTTCGTTCTTCATAATGAACGGTCTTATCATTATGCTAACCCCTGTTTCTCGTAGTGAAAAACTAAAGCCTCGTTTCCGAACTTGATTCATTCCGACTGCACACTTGATTACGATTTCCAAGCAACTGTGCTGCTCTTGTGCCCATCGACGAGGGGTGGGAGGGTTCTGCTCCGACAGCCGCAACTCCCCACGACAAGGCCGGAGAGTGGAGTGTGGAACAAGATACAAGTGTTTCGCGCGGCAGCAGGGCGAGGGGGACTCGGGAAAGAGTTTGATTTAACCTGCGCTCCTTGCATCCACACTTGAGCCGTGGCCACTTGCAAGCTTTCACCCAATACGGTTAAGCCGCGATATGGCTTTTCCGGAAGAGTGATGTGAGGTTCAAACATGCCAGGGTCAACATTGTAGCTGGTCTTCTGTGCGTACTTTGATATGAAACACATTAAAGCATCTAGGAATTGCTTCGGATTTTTGTGGATCTTTGGCCTTGGGTGCAGACATGCCACTGCCATGTGGATCGGAGTGCGACCGTCGGTGCTTGGCCTGCGCAGGCAGAAGATTCCAAATCCCGCCTTGAAAGCTTGAGATAAAGAAGTCTTACCCCTCAACTCTGCAAAGTCTATCCGCTGACCCATTGCTCTTTAGCCGAGCATTTCCAGAATTAACTGGTCGCCTCAAGAAGTTCAAACCCCTTAGCCCTGATCGGAATGAGGCTCAGAAGGTTCTGTCGAGATCAGGATTGGGAAGGGAGCGGCAAAGAGCTTCTGCAAGCTTATGCTTTTATGGTTTCGACTCGTGCAGCCTGATGAAATATGGGAGGCCGCTCACGCACTGCAGCATCATGACGACGTCACTCGTTCGACATTGGTCAACCTAACAATAACAAGCCCGCTCGCTCGTTATGTCTGCAGCATGCATGGCCTTCTGAGCCTTCGCCACTATGACCGGGAGGAAAAACCACAAATTATCGTTGCGAACCACGCATGTGCGGTGCAAGGAGGGGGGCCCCGAGACCCAGCACAACCATGCGAGCCTACATGACACACCGGCGACTGTAAGGCGGGACGATCTGCTACGAGACTGCATCTCACTCAAACACAATCGAAACCGACTATGGTAGCAGAAAGCGGCCACAAAGGCTGAGATTCGACAGGAGCCAACAAACGACCGCTAACGAGTACGTCGCATTCTAAGGCGGATTCATGCCGAGACCAGCCAGGCCCAGAAACCATTCCGTCTAGTTCTTGAAGACAGGTCACACCCAAAGCAGACATACGCCTGTGTGCAAGATATGGAACATGACGTCTTGCAACCATCCACCAGCGTGCGAGAGATTGGCGAGGCCGACGGAGCACAGAGAAATCACACGAATAGCGTCATTGTCCTAATGTTGCTTTCCCGTGTCCAGTTATACACCGAGGCACCTAGCAAAACCAACCTGGACTTACGAACGGCCTTCGAGGTTTGGAGTTTGTGTTGGAAGTGCGAGTGGGGGTCTTCATGTGCCTTTGCCACGATCCGTCAACAATGCCTTACACAGTTGAAGCAGAGGCACCACATCTACAAACAAGCTTAGCATTAGGGGCTTCCATTTGTGCAGTAGTTGATCGGCTGGTAAGGGAAGTCTGGAAAGTTAATTTTCTGGTAATCGTGCATAGACTAACACTCAAGCACACTCTCGAGTAATGAAAACCCTGGCATCCCGGAAGCAGACCTGCCAAATCCCAGACTCGATCTCTCTCTGGGAGCCTTGACTTGAGCTCGGGTCGCTCCCTGTGGACCCAAGCCCCGCAAAATCCTGCAACCCGATCCTCCGTAAGGTCGCGATACATCCTGCCTGTCCAGCTCCGCTTGCGCTTCCAGCAGCGCTGCCACGGCTTGCTCGTAGCCACCTCGCTAAACCCACCGACCCGCTAACGCACGGTTCACCACCTGCACCTGGGGTGTTCTCTTGTCGAATGAAAGGGGCGCCCTATGTGCCGCTCTTATACAGTGATTAGAGGTGGGAAGACGACACATCTCACTGTGGCTGCTTGAGCAGTGGATTGAGGCCCCAGTCTGGTCCAGCTGTGGGATTAGGATAGCAAGCGCCTTCTTGAAGATAGGCCACGGGACTGCCAGGGGAGTTCAGAAGGATATCATCCTAGATGTGAGGTTGTAAGTAGACAGAATCCATTCCTGAAGACGAACAGAATCAGCCAAACTCGAAAAATCATACATAAGCCCCCGGTACCCGACAGGATACTCGACAGGATAAACTCGCGGAAGGCTTCCAGGTGCTGGGTCAAGAATTCATGAGGTGGACAGCCAGACAGCCAGAACCAGCGATGGGAATCAGCTCCTTCATCTTGGTAAAGCTGAGACAGTATGCCAGTTCTCTTCTGCTTAATTTTGGAAATGCAAGTGATTCCCAAAACCGCACTTAGGACATCCGCCGACCCTGGATTCCTTCACAGCCGTAATTACGCTTGATTGCAAACCAATGGATGCTCAGCATGGGCCTTGAGCTGCAAAATGCAGCGGCGTCTCGCCACCCACTTTGGTGTAGTGTGAAGACCGGCGAATACCTGTATTGGCTTTAAGTTGCGTCGGCGATGGCGGTTCTTGATGAGAGAAGCTTAAAGCCTTGGGGGGTGACCACCACCCGCCCCCTCCGGTCCAACAAATTGGCCTCCCAACTACTACGGCAACTGCTACACCGGATGCCGAATTGCGGAGAACGATCGATTCTTAGCCCTGTCGCCACCCGCACACTGGCCCCTTTCAACATCGCCTGGGATGTAAGAACTGAAGCAACGAAGTCTGCCACAATCGCATGCTTTAAACAAGGAGGCTGCAGTTTGCTTATCTGGATTCGTCTTCCAAAGCCATCCTGTCCGACACCGCAGTGTACCAAGACACAAATGCAAAGACCTGTAAGATATCACGACCAAGATGTTGACAAGCCAACGGAACCTGAAATCGTTGTGATTCTTCGGTTCGAACTCTTTCACGTCTTACAGAAAATCTCGGGGGATCGCACGGCTCGAAGATTACCGTCGGACAGGGGTGGGGGGGGGGGGGCAGTTTCGTGATTGAGCGAGGGCCGATGTCGCCATGAGCAAAAGGCCTTGTCTTGTGCATGGGATGCAGGGCTCAGAACAGTGTCTCTTGCTTTATGACCTGGGGCTTAAAGGATTCATGAATACAACACTGGGAGACAAGTCTTTCGGGTATTCCCCATGTTGCTAACTCGCCAAGACACCATCGTCTACCTGGATGCTGCAGTTGGCCCTTGCCTCGCGACAATGTCTGTCTTCGGATTGCTGCACCAGGAACTCCAGCAACTTTTCCCCCTTTGTCTCCGCTGGGGTGTAGCGGTCGTCCAGGCGACCGCTGCACATGCACCCTCTGCATTGTGGAGTGGATGGCTTCTCTATCACCTCTCTCCCTCTCTCCCTCCCGGGAATAGGAGGTGTTTCGAGACCGCACCTGTGTTGTCGGGTCTTGTGGGGAGGCGTCAGACGAGGTATCAGAAGTCATAAATCGGGGAAGAGGCGCGCTTCAGTCATCGTTGAACTTATTAGCTATCCTCGAATTATGTACCTTCCTTGGCAAGAGAAAACGATAGCAACCAATGACTCTCTCTCTCTCTCTCTTTCCCTCCCTCCCGGGCATGGGGGATGGTCAAATCCCCCGGGGCTTCAAGCCCACTCGATCGTATTGAACGGGTTATGGGGAGAGAGGACCGAGGTGCGGCTAAGGGCGTATACTAAGCACGATGTAGAACCATGGCGAATCTATACTCTCGACGGCATTTGCGTCCAATGTAGCATCCTCTGAATCGTTGGTGGACACATAGTTTACAAGAGAGTCAGATAATGAGTTGGCGGCATGGGGATGCAAAAACGTCTCGAGAGCCTCTGCCTCTCTCTCTCTCGCTCTCGTGTGCGCTTGCATACTCACAAGCCCATATTGCAAGGTAGTTCCGAGTTCCTGTGTCACCTGTTTGGTGCCACTGGCTGCCAGAGAGTCGAACACATTTCGAGGATTCTACGTGCTTGCGTCTCTTCGGCGATTTGAAGCTCCTGGCAGTTGCTGTGCCTTCTTCAAACTCTACCAAGGACAACTTGTGAGAGGCGACATTAACAGCTGACGGATACATGGTGCAGCGCTGCTAGGCCCCCTCCCCCCACAGCATGGTATTCGCCCTCCCGTACTGACGCGGCGACGTGGGCCCTTTGTGGAGTGACTTGTTCTTCGAGCTGCGAACGATGGACGAGCAGCAAGGAAGCCACACTGGGCGGGCTGCCGTCTTCCGTCCAAACTTCCAGTCGCACTATTTTGTCGCATCGCACTCTCCAAGACCATTCTATCGGGCATGGGTCAGCATGCGGCCAAGACTATACTTCAACACGGTTCGCGATTATTCGCGATTTCTACGTCGCCTTCTGGAACCCACCCTGTACAGGCCGCACACCTCTCACACAACAGCACGCAACAGACTAGACCAAGTCAGCACGCAGTTCACATCAACACAATTCAACACACACACACACACAAACATACACCTCAACCCGTGAGGCCTCAATCCCGTCATTGCTGAGCGCTGCGTTCTGCAACCCCATGAAGCTACGAGCCCGGTCCGAACTGGACCGTGCAACCCCGCGTGTAGCACTTGCCGTGGTTGGCTGCGCAATCCGAAACTGTAAGCAAACCCTCAGAGACTGAGCCTAAAGACCTAAGGCCGCAACCCAAGCCGCGTCAACCGCTTTACCCGAAAGCAGGGGACGGAACCTGCAGGAGGGCCTTGCAAAGCGTAGCGTTGCCAAGGCCTGCTGGCTGGGGTACAATTGCTACAGCTGCCGACAAACTGCGCGCATGTTGAAGGCCCGAGATGCGAAATGCAAGAAACAAACCTTCAAACCCCAGGACGAAACTCCTGTCTTGCCAGCCCTGTGTTCCTGAAACTATTCACCGTCTTCACCAACTCGAACTATTTAGCCCGACAATATGCGCAATTTCGAACGTTCATCATAATCCTGAAATCTTGTGGGGTATCTTGTGTGAAAACTTACTTACACAAAAAGCGGAGACGAGACCAGCCGAGCGAGCGAAACAACAACCAAGAAGGCTTTAAACCCAAACCTGAATCTGAGCGGTTAGCGTCCAAACTTCAGAATCAGAACTATGGCCTGCGGCTAGGTGCAGTGGTGCCACACCGTCCACTCGGCGAAAGTTGGCCTGGGCGCCAGCCTCGCAGGTCTGCAAGCTACGACCCATTACGGGCTCCTCCCGAAACTGTGGAGCTTTGAAGGGCTCGCAGTATGGGCTGATGATGAGCATGGCAAGCCACCCAGCAATATCCAAGCAATCATAGTTTCTCCTCCCAAACAAGAGCAGTTTTGCACAGTTGCCGGCTGGAAAGTCGATGATCTGCTAGGTTGGATTCAGGGTGTAGGGCGTCGATGGGTCTCGGACCCAAATGCCGCTTGCACAAGCTTCGCTTGCTGATAGACGGTGACAACCGAAGTGGCTGTTGTGGCCTGGAGCAGGACTTGCGCCACTTCAGCGAAACCTTCACTCCAACCACGTGCTGGAGGGCTGTGCGTGCCGGAGGATCACGATGTCAGGCTCTCGGGCCGTAAGGATTGGGGTAGGCGCGAAGTGTCGAATAAATCGAGTCTAGAGTCTAGGAGTCTAGGGATGAGCTTCTCGGAGCCTAGGTGTAGCTGAAGCTATCCGAACAACTCCGGCGAGTCTGAGTGGGGCCGAGGAAATACAAAGGGGGTTAATTGGATCTTGGGAGCTTCCGAGCGTCGTACCCCACAAGTCAGAAGAGCATCAAGGCGAAGTGGCGAAGATCGGAGGGCATGTGAGTGGACCCCGCGTCTCTCGTAGTTGAATGAAGCTCGCAGATAAACCCGCAAATCCCGATGGTACACCCAAACCATCAAAACCTGCTACTCTACCAGCCAGCATCCTGCACAGATCATGACGAAGAAACTGACTGGAATGCGGAAAGGAAGCACTCGAAGCTCCTAAGTTCTGCCGGGCTGCCGTGTTCAGCGGCCAGTGTCAGGGCGGTGGCTTGGTCGCACGTCCGGTTCTGATTGGGCAGGAGCATCCACCGTAAATTCTCAAGTTTGTGTGCACCGTATTGATGCTGATGCTTTGGCAACATATGGCTGCAGGTCGCCAAAAGGTCCCTCCTTACAGGTCCCAAAACTTTTATACCAGCTGTGTCGTCTTCGGCCTGCTTGCCACTTGCGTCCTATTTGTCGTTGTTGCTGCTCTCCCTCGTCTTCTTGCACGGCAGAGGATAGCAGCCAACGAAACTTTGGGGCAATAAGAGCTTGCAGCTTTTTTGTGTTCCTCTCCTCTTCTTCTTCTCTGTCAGGGTCGGAGGGCCCCCCTTGGCCACAAGCCCACCCGATGTAACTTGCCTTTGGGTGGGTGTGAATCTCAAAGACTCCCTCTAAAAGTGTGTACGACTCTATCCATACTTCTTACATTGGAACTTTTCCCGTTACGCGCAAAATCGGCATCAGAGATGTGGACGTCCTCGGAATTTGTTGAACCAGAAATGGAAAGAATAGGAACCACAAGCCAAGGGGTTTCTATGGACGGCACCTCTGAAGAACATTGACATTGTATATCCCAGGACAGACAGGGGAGATTGACATGTTGCATTGCAGGTATTATGCGCCTAGTCGGCACAAAACTCACTGCATGGAGGCCCGAATACATTAAAAGCCCTTGAATCAGGCAGAGGCTCATCACATGTCATGCCCTAGCCCCTAGTCCAAGAACTGTGCACCTTCAAAGGGTGGTAGCCCTCTACGATCGAGATGTTCGATAACCGTTGCATCTTGATGCCTCTGGCTGCCCGGAAATCTACTCCCAATCGATCCCCACACGTACACTCCCACAATGGCCAACCCTGGGCGAGCGCACCGCATCCACGAAGGCTCGGCAGGACAGCAGCGCCTTTGGGACCGAACTCAACAGTTGCGATGATCGCTGTTGCGGGTGAGGATGTGGATCCACAATGCACAAGAGAATCTGCTTTAGAGAGACAGAAACCAGCAGAAACATCAGGTCTGTGCAGTCCTTCACGCACCAGGGCCATCGCTACGGGTTGGTATGTGAGCCTCTCTTTCAGGGTTCTAGATCCTATCGAAAACCGTGGTCCTTTACGGCTCAAGACCGGCACCTTATGCTTCAAGCACACAAGCAAAGACACCAATGTACTTTTTCAGAGTTTATGCATGCAAACACCGACGTTTGAAAACTCGAGCCGCCTTGGCTGGGGCTGTGTGGCCTGTCGCCGCTGCCAAATGAAGCGCTGTCACGGCGCCCTTGAGAGCTTCAGTTCGGAACGCAAGTAGTTTGGTAAACCGCTCGGTGTGGATGGGTTATGGGCGAGGGAGGGTTGGTGAAGACGTCGGGAGCCTGAGTTGTGTGTGACATCGCAGGGCACAGGTGACGAGATCAGATTCACCTCACGCTCGTGAAATCCAGCCGACCTATATCAGCACATGACGTCCCGGCTAGATTCGCGGGCCCCCCATCCCCCATCACAGTGCCGGCCGTCATCTTGGCTTCGGAGTCGGCCTCGGGCGAGGACGGGGGTGTCTGCATCTGCATAGACTGAGGGCACTTCTCTCCCAGCAGTGCATTCTTGGTATGGGTTCTATTGACGACGTCTGCCCCCACCGGCAAATACTGACGCTCTGAGGTTTGCTGGGACATCCGGCAGGATGTCGCGCAGCAGACAGAAGAAAGGCAATTGTTGGTTTTCCTTTGCCTTGCTCGGGGTTTGAGGCGGGAGCAGTCCTCCCTCTGTTGTACAACAACGGGTTCCCTGTTGTTCAGGGGCTGTGGAAGTGGGTTTCCCTATTTCAACAAAGGCGTATACACACACACACACTCTCTCTCTCTCTCTCTCTCTCCCTATGTCTATCACGAACCCAGTCATAGACTTCAACTGACAAACTTCTTGCCAAAACATGCAAACCACACTACAGCTGCCCGCGGCCGACGAAGTTGGAAAACGAGAGAATCACACACGAAGGTATACATCGGGAGTGCTTGCTCCGAGTGGCGGTAAGAAGGAGGGCTGCAAACATCTGAGGAGAGTGCGCGCCCTCCCCTCACACACATCGCCTCCCTCCCTTCAAAAACAAACCACCATCCACCACCTTTGCTCACCCCTATACCCACACCGCCCGAAACCCACCGAACAACACCCCTCTCACAAAGGAATCGCATCGTACAGCGAAGCCGCCTATCCACTACTACAGTACTACTACTACAGTACTACTACTACAGCACTACTACTACTACCACTACCACTACTACTACTACTACTACTCCTGCTGCTACTGCTGCTACTGCTGCTACTGCTGCTACTACTACTACTACTACTACTACTACTACTACTACTACTACGACTACGACTACTACGACTACTACGACTACTACGACTACTACGACGACTACTCGAATACGACGACGACGACTTACTCCTACTCCTACTCCTACTCCTACTCCTACTCCTGCTCCTCCTCCTCCTCCTACTACTAGTACTATAGTACTAGTACTAGTACTAGTACTACTACTACCATTACTGCTACTGCTACTGCTACTGCTACTACTACTTCTACGACGTTGTAAAAGATGGGGGTAGCGGGGCCTGGATGGTGCTGTAAGGGGTGGGGGAGGAGGTGCGCCGGCTGGGAAAGCAAAGGCAACAGGAAGCATACCACCCATCTGAGACTGAGTACGTGAGATACGAAATACTGAACCCCGCCATACAGACACTTTCACTCTTGCCGCTTGGCCAGTTCTGTGCAATGGACTCGGGCCCACTGCTACAATTTAATATTTGTGTCGTTCAAGCCACCAAGACGAAGTAGTGCTTGCCAAGGTTAAAAGGTGTGTTCGTGGAGCTGTCCTTACGGCCTGTCTGAAGCGCACCACTGCAGTATACGTACGTGGATCTCATTATTCCATGCTTGCGTGCTGCGCACCGAATCTCCCGATGACTACCAGGATTGCGATCCTGAGCCCAGTGCGTATGCTTTCAGCAGCTGCGTCCTGAAATTTCAATCACATGAGAGGATGCAGGCAGAGCTTCGTAATCGTAGTCTCAAACCATTTTAGAATGTTCAGGAAGGTTATACGGGCAGGTGTCAGCTGAAACGTGGGAAAGAGGAGCTCGTGCGTTCGTTAGCTCGTGCTGCACCACCACCTAGTCGTCCTAGCAACAAGTTGATGCTGAAAGGCTTCTCGCGTTGGTGCTGATTTCGGGTGATGTCTGTCGGTGCCCTGATGCTGCTGGCTGGTACACCGAGAAGTAAAGAAGTTTGCTTGCCTACGGGCCACGTTGCCAAGTCTGCAATCAAGCCAGGACCACAGAAACATCCTTCAACACGTTCGATGCTCGCTAAGTAAGCACGCGACGTCCGCTCAAAGTCCCAACATGTTTTGGCAACAGGAGCCAAAGCTGTAGGCAAGGCTAAACAAAGGAACATTAAGTCGCGAAGCTTGACATCACACTTCCGAAGTCCGACGCTCTGGGACTCAAGCAGCACATGAAGTCCCCCGCAAAGCCAAGACGCACTATGTCTTCGTGCTTGGCAGCAATGGCAATGTGGAGTGCAGTGATTCCATCTGCGGCCCTTGGGCTTGAACATACAAGAGAGAGTTCGAGTCCCGGGTGGTCCCATATGGTGTCCCGTGATGCATGTTTTGCATCATATATCCTTCTGAGGTCTCTCGCTGCGGACGTGTGCGTGGCGTGTGGGACATCTCTTTCGGCCGTTCGGCAGTCGAAAAGAGAGAAGTTCGAGGATTTGGGATCCAGGGCCAAAACATTGGGGTCTTGGCAACAAGACACCCAAGGACAATGAACGGGGTCCGGCCATGGTCCATTGAGAGGCAGTTGCAAAGCCATCGGTGTTCGACAGCTCGACGGACAAATCAGTGCTCGACCAGATCGTGTTTTACAACATGAGTCACCGATCTGTGCGAGAATGAGGTCTTTGGGACGGTATTCATGTCACATTGAGTTTTCGAGTCTGTGCAGGCCTCAACCTTTCAGCATTGTTAGGGGTAATTCATGAATAATGGTTCGGCATCTATGAAGTTCGCGATGCCGGGGACTGTTTGGGCTTGAGCACTCAAGTTCTGAAATACAGTCAGCCCTAACTTCGCAATCGCAAAATGAAAGGAATGCAGGTCGAGCTTTCCCGTCAGCCCTTGCGTACAAGGTGGTCATAGGTGGTCACCCGCCGTTCAGTCTAGAGATCCAGAAAGCAATCAGCGAATACTCAGCGAATGCTCTCAATGCCTCAGCATCCCTTTTCTGGATGTAGGTCTTGCTTCCCCTGCCACGAGACCGAACATTCCATCCGCAACCCATCACGGCATCTCCCCAAATTTGTGCCCAAAAGGGCCATCGCCCCATCATCACCCTTCTTTACCGTAGATCTGTAGCGGGTTTTCTCGAAGTACCGTCCCCGCAAGCTATTCCGGTTCAAAACCTTCAAGGCTGGAAGCCCATGCCTTTCCGAACTTAGCTTGGCTCCTCATTCGGCAAACTTCCCAAATTCGCAAACCCCGAACGCCGTGACCGGTTGCGAGGAGAGGAGCAAAGGCTGTTGTGGATCTGCTCTACCTCGGATAATGACCTGGCAAGATGCAGCTGCGGTTTTCGGATGCTTCTAACAGGTTACATAATAGTGCGAAGCACGCTTGCGGAACCGAGCAAGTTACAATACAAGGATCGTGTGCTACAGTATGGCTGCTATGGGCTTTTCAAGGGCAAGCGGTACATTGATCCTCGGAAGCTGCGGCATTTCGGGTCAGGAACCCATCCCGTTCGGGTCTTGTGCAATTTTTCTCATGGTAACATCGTTTCCCGCCGAAGCCCAACCTCAACACATAGATGCAAACAGAAGCATATGCAGCCCCTTCCCAATGCCCACCGAATTCTCTTGTTTTTGTAAAATATTAGTGCCTTTTCACATTCCCTTCAACGACAAGTTCCTACATCAAGGCTCTATTTACATACGAGACGCCTCCTTTTCTCAACAAGACCTTCCCCATAATATGTATCATCATGATTACGTCCACCGGCATCACCATCTGTGTCATCATCGGCTATTCTCCTACTGAGCTCGTGCCAGGAGCTTGTATGTCACATCTTTGTGCACACTAGGAGCTGGAAAAAACCAATACCAGTCAATGTTTCGTTCACGATTTTGATTTGTGTTATATATATATATATATACACACACACACTTCCGGAATGTGCTGCTTAAGTCGGTGAGTTATTTAACCAGTCTGATGAAAGTTTACCTTACCACTTCAGGGGATGTGGTGTCATGCTAACTCATATCCATTTGACTGAGGATCTAATGCTGATTGAAAACTGTTTACGGTTCAATACGGCAGCGCAATTACACCTTGTTTCAGTATTCTAGATAAATGTATAATACATATTATTGTTTGATCCCTTAATTGAAATCTTCACATTGTACCTCATGAACGCTTCTGGTACTGGGTTATACAACTGTTAGAACTTTTGATATCGTCTACTTGTGAGACCTCAGGGAAGCATGCTTACGTGAGTAGCTTTTTACTTGATGTGCATTGACTATTTCATGCTGGCAGAACAAACACTTCATGCTTATGTACTCGGAACGTGGCTGATGTTGACTTATTGCTAGATGAAGCAGTTATCATGTAATTAATGCCCAGTCACTAAATAAGAAGATTAAATTTGACCAGTGTTCACATAATGCTTAGTATGGGTCAGCTATACTTATAGTCTTTCGGTCATGTTGCACCCAGTGTGTAAGCAAGGCCCCTAGAGCTTTCGGACCGGGACCCGAGCCAGTGGCAGTAGCAGGCTGGATACAAAAGCATGTCTACTGTTAAACACGCAATCCTGGTGATATGAATTTTCAATGTGGTGGGAGGTGAATACGTTGTTGTTCAAGACTTGTTGGGTACATAATGACATATTGTAAATGCACAACATGCGCTTACATATTACCCACTGTGCTACGTATCTGCCATGTCTAAACCTACGCTGAATGCTGAACAAATGCTACTGAGATGGTCGCGAACAAGTATCGGAGCGGAAAACGAGATGTTTATGAGCATAGTTTAGAAATGCTATTGGCATTGCTCTTTGCCGTATTTAACTTGCAACTTAAAGCTCAGACGATCTCGTTTGAGCGGGTAGTAACGGATGAATAGGTGTTGGATAAGACACTGCTACAGCAAGTAAACCGGCGAGGCGTTTGGCTAGCTTTACGAAATTATAACAAAATCCCAGAGATCTCGTTCAAAACTTTCTGCTGGCCTTGTAAAAAGCTTTCAAATGTCCAGATTTCACTACTTCAGAAACTAGTACACACAATAATCCAAAATGCAATCGCGAACTTGTTGAACATATTGGAGGTCTGCAATTTTCCAGTAGCGTTTCCAGAATTTCCAAAATGTCAGAACCTACTGCAAGCAAGAATCCAAGACTTACGGTTGCTTTTTTGGATTTTCTGAAGCTTGATTGCTTGAATGCTTTGGAAGTACTGACATGTGAATATGTGTTAATGTTGCAAAGCCGGGCAAACCTCTCTTCCAAGTTAAACGAAACATCATAATGACATGGGCCCTGAGCCCAAACAGACAATAGAACTTACTATGGATGTACTAGCTGATCAGCTCGGGTGTGGGCTTTGGGGGTACGAAACTTATGCATGTATACATATATGATCCAGGCCAAGGTTCTGACGTGAAGACATTGAGACCGGAAAAGCCCATGTGATGAAAAAATCTGGCCGTCAACAGGATGGATCTCATTAAAGCAATGCGGCCGCACATGCACTACATGCACCTTGTGGACTTCAATTTCATGTTTTCACCGTAAGGACAACCAGGATGTGGAAAGCGTCTACACAATTTAAGCCAAGTTTATGGTGCAAGTGCTTCAGTGAGTGCTGCAAGATTTTCGCAGTGGGTAAGATGCCGCAGCCACTGCACGAGAACAGAGCTATTCTTTTGGTTGTTCCGGCTGTGATGTTGCCCATTCGGGTCTTCCCCCAAAGGCAGGCCTGTTCTGGAACTTTTTGCTTGCGGTACGACCGTTCTGGATGTGCTATACTCCAGACTGTCTGCCCCACCCCCCCACCCCACCCTGTCTAGAAGTAGAATTGCTCAGAGCTAAAACTCGAAGGCTCGAGGAGGAACGGGGGTTGCATTCTCAACTGGCCTTGATGACTTCTTTCTTGTTGAGAAGCGCGGCCACGTGGAGCGGAGTCCATCCACCTGTTGCCATGGCTACTGCTGGTTGATGGGTTTAAGATGGTTTAGCAGTTCGGGTGTTGCCAGGAAAGCCGGATGCGTCAAGTTTAGGATGCAATGTTCTGGAACTAGTATCCTGCGACCTGGAACTTGAAACTGGATGGAGGATGCCCTTCGCGGGGGCGCAATCTTATCAATCATGCCAGAAACCGAGAACACACAAAATACAGGAAGAACGCACGCAGCATTGGGCTTCTATCTCACGGCCAACAAAGCCCCAGGTCCCTATTTCGCACGATTTCAGTTTGCATACAGCTGTATCGTCCATCTCGGTCCGAGGCACCTTCGAGAGTCAGATTCGGCGTGGCACCACCTCCGGTCTGGATGTCTCAGGCGAACAATCCTTCAACTTTAGTTCTTGCACATCTGCTCGTAACCATCGAATTCGCAGCCGTGACCACAATCTCCGCACGCAAAATGCGTGGACAATCCGAAACCTCTACAAACATGCCCTCGTTGTCAAGCTCTCGTTTTACAACCTCAGGAGCTCCTGACTGCCAAACTTAACACCGGAAGCTCTCGAAGACGGAAATCTTGTTCAGCTCTCTCGACCGTGGATGTCGTTGTCATGTCTCTGGAAAGTCCCGCGCGCTTTCAACCTCGAGCACGCCCTGACCGAAACATTCTAGTCTTCATGCTCCCATATCCATCGATCCTTGACCCTGACGGCCCTGACCCATGCTTCTCCATCTGCTCAGAGAGCTTCTTTCAAGAAGCGGCAGGGCCTCGTTGAAGAAGGCCGATGACTCGACCCTGCCAAGCACTGTGGTGATTTGGATTTTGGGCGGGATTGGGCCAAGTGCCCTGAAGATAACTGAACCCTTGATCTTACATGATGCAACGACTGGACGACCAGACTACCACGGCCACTTGCCGTTTTGCATGGGGAGACCTAGCGGGACCTAGCGGCTGCCTTCAGGGTTACGCGGTAGCAAAAGAGTCGCTATCCTGGATCCTGAGGCGAGCCCGGAGCCAGTTCCAAGCTGACTTCAATGCAGCTTGGCTGTTTTCGATGCTGAGCCTTCAGATCCAAGCGTGGCACTGCTCAGGCACTCACGAAGTGTCATGACGGCTGTTCGGGCCCATCAACCTTTCGGTCGTTGACTTATCGCCTGGGCAAGGAGATCAACTGATGCGAATCTTATTTTGGGTCTTCAAGTATAATTAGCCGAGAATCCGACCTTAAACCGACTCTTGAACAGTACAGATGCAGCCCTAGATCCCGAACAATCTACTCGTGGCGCCTCGCCACCAGCTGCGGCAAAATGGAGAGGTGTCGAAGCGTCCTCCTGCAGAAACCGACAGTATACACCCCAGCGGTCTGGAGTTCGAGCTTGAGCTAAGTGACCCAGCATGAAAGAATGAAAAACCAATCTTGGAATTCTGAGAGCCGAAGCCTCAATCCAAAATCCTCAGTTATTATCCCCAATACCGCAAGACTACAACTGACTCAGTAAACAAGTGCAGTTCAGTGCAGTACATTACCGTCTTCGTCCATGTCCACGTCGTGTAGTAGTAGCAGCAGCAGTAGTAGTACCAGAAGTAGCAGCAGGAGCTGTAGAAGAGCCGCAGTCGCAGCCAGAACGAGCAGGAGCAGGAGCCAGCAGCAGGAGCTAGGAGCAGCACTACTAGCATTACTAGCAAGGGAATGGGCCCCAAGCTTCCGAAAAAGGCTCAGGGTCAGAAACAAGTGATCGATGTTTAGACCGTTTAAGCAGTTTCCCAATTCGTTAACTTACAAGCATAAAATTGTTCAATGGGTTTGGTTAGACCCGTGAAGTGGTCCATGCGAATTCTTATTCTGAATTTTCTGATTTACTACTACTACTACTACTACTGCTACTACTACTACTACTACCACTACCACTACCACTACCACTACCACGACTATTACTACTCCTACTACTACTACTGCTACTACTACTACTACTACTACTACTACTACTACTGCTCCCTCACCTTGCAGATTCTGCTGCTGCTGCTGCACTACTCCTCCTCCTCCTCCCTCACCTTGCAGATGCTGCTGCTCCTACTGCCACTCCTACTACTACAACTACAAGTACAACTACTACAAGTCGCAGCCGAAATGGAAGCCGAAGTACAAGTTGCAGGAGTAGCACTAGTAGTAGTAGTAGTAGCAGCAGTAATTGTGTAGCAGTAGTAGTAGTAGTAGTAGTAGTAGTAGTAGTAGTAGTAGTAGTGGTAGTAGTAGTAGTAGTAGTAGTAGTAGTAGTAGTAGTAGTGGTAGTGGTAGTGGTAGTGGTAGTAGTAGTAGTAGTAGTAGTAGTAGTAGTAGTAGTAGTAGTAGTAGTAGTACTGCTAGTAGTGGTAGTAGTGGTGGTGGTAGTAGTAGTAGTACGTACCAGTAGCAGCAGTAGGAGAACGAGCAGAAGTAGGAGTATCTGTAGCTACTAGCAACAGCAGTAGTAGCAGCAGCAGTATTCGCCGTCGTCGTTAGTTCAAGGAGTAATCGTAGTCGGGGGTCGCAACAGGATCCATAGCAGCAGTGGCACCGGCCGGACTAGCCGCAGTCGTGATATGATCGTGCAAGGAAACAAAATCTTTTGAAGGTTTCATCGGCGAATGTCTTCAGTGCCTAGTGTTGCTTCACAAGCTGTGGAGTGTCTGTGGAGTTTGGTGGTGTGCGTGCAGGGTTTCGCATTCCAACAGACAGCGTACCAAACATCGAACGCCCACTGCTTTTAACAACTACGGTCCTTTCGACGAAGAATGAAAAAATCAGAAGTAAATGATAAACGCCAAAGTTGGTGGCTGATGGATAACAAGATTCCGGAAATTCCAAAAGATTCTGGAAGAGTGGTTTAGAAATGGCCTGTTGCGAGGCGATGGGGATCCGAGCACGCGACCCAAGTGTCAGCGGCATCATACTGCAGAAGGATGTTTTTTTTGTGCACATGTGCGCGACCAGGTCGCGCGAGGTTTCGCGAAGAACGCCCATTCCCAAGCTCTGACACTACATGGCGATGTTGGCCTTTCCCTGATTCACCAGCCAAGGTTAGGCAAGGAGGCCGCAACAAAAAGATTCAAATTACCACGCAGGGTATGTCAAAAGATGCCAACAATGAAGCTGATTGCAAACATTGAAAGTATGGTAAGCCTGTGCCAGATAAGGATAGCAACTTGGTTGCGACGCCGGTAGTGCGCCCTGGCTCTGTGCACATAGCTTGCCGGTGCACAAGGTAAAAACGGAGAGAAAAATATTTTCCACAGCAGGAAACGCCATTTGGATTTATGACGGGGGCCTAAGACATGCTGCAGCTTCAGGAGAAGCCTGCCAGAACTGAGCATGGTCTTTGCGCAGACTCCTTGCGAAACTTTGTCAGACCCAGCAGCATGCGAATCCTTCTGGATCCGTCACGACATACATTGATAGACATGTTTTTGAAGCAGAAACGGCTAGACAAAGACCAACAAACCGTTCTTCGAGTTCGCGCAGACATTTGTCGGAATGCTTCCCATGCTGCCACTCCCGCTCGCGCAGCAGCAGGTAAGCTAGTGGAGCGCTGATGTCCAGTCGGCACTGAAGCAATGGAAAACAAAGAAGTCGACGGCACGAGTATCGTTGAAGATGGCATGCAGCACGGCTTGCTCTGCGGACCCAACACGTGTGGGATCGTCCGAATGTCGAACTTCCATGTCGATCAAGCTGACATCCGAAATGCACTAAGATGGTCGTAGGAGAGCTGGCCGATGACAAGTGGAGCGAAGACAACCAAGCAGGTCCATGGGCACGGCAATACCCCCGCTACTGCGCTGCCTGCTCGAAGTGTTTCCTCAGATAGTAAGGTTATTAGCCGCCCCCCCCACGATCACCCAAACCCAAAAGCCCCGAAAACTGCACCAAACGCAGAGCGCATTGCCGGCGCAGTAACCAGCAACTACGGCAAACGGTAATTATCCAGCTTCAGTTTCAGTGTTGGGGTTCGGTGTGTGTCGGCAACCAGTGATGCTGCAAGCAACAGTTCCTCTCCTGCGCTGTTCGCACATTCATATCAGCGCCTGCGCGTGGCTAGCAGAAGCTCCCGATGTGCTATGAAAGTCTAAGTCTGCAGCACTGAGTAAAGGTTTGGGGTATGCAATTCTGCAAGTGCCTGCTATGTGATATCGGGAAGTCTGAAGAACCTCGCCAACCTCTGATGGCAAATCTCCAACAAGATCAAGACTTTGGCATCGCGAAGACTGCTGCTGCTTCTGCTTGATGCTATCGCCGTAACTGCCATGCAGCAGCTTATCTTCTTCAATCAATCAAATAGAGTTCCAATGCGGCCCTATTTGTGCTGAAACTCTTTGACAGCAAGGGTTGCGAACAATGGGATCATCTGCGCAAAGGCCTCTCTTGGACAGCAGCTCCACGATCTGCATACGGTTCGGAGCAGTCGTTTGTGTTTCTTGAGCGAGGATTCCACAGAACGCTTGAGTTTGGCAGGCCTCTTCAGGGTTCGCGGGCCTTGATGTAGGCTGAAGATGTCCAGGATTAGGGGTTTCTCTAAGTTCAATTCGCTGGTGCGAAGACTAGAAGCTTTTCAGCCTTGCCAAGCCATGCATTCAGGACCTTCAGCTCTTGAGTGCTGCGCAGCCAGGCATACACTCACGATCGCGCATAGTCCACCGAACACGCGTCTTAACACATGGACCACCTATGTGGGTTTTGGCTGCATTAAACCGCGCAGCCCGAAGCCTCCTGAAAGCGGCGGCTACTGGTTTTTGCACGCTGGTAGCTGTCATCCGCTGTCAATCCCAACCCCAGCGAAACTCACGCTTGAATCGGAATCCTCAGCCTCCGATGCGCTCCATATCCAACCCCTCTGCGAATATCCTGGCTGTGATCCGTCTATTCCTAGTGCAGTGGGAAAGCTTGTTTGTGCAGGGTTAATGGCATCGGGTCCACTGTTCCAAACATGTGAGGCCTTGGTGTAGCCTTTCACCACGGCAAAATGCAGAGGTGCCCAGCAGGTGGTCAGCTGGTCAACTGGAGCGCGTGCCTGTTGTTGGACGACAGGGGTTGTAGCCTTGTGGGCTTGGGCTTCGGGCTTGAGGCATCCGTTTTGAAATTGCTGCGGCTTACTGCAAGGCTCACAAACTGCTGAGATGCAGGTGCCCCAGGCAAGCGACGAGCGAAACTCGAGCAGCGAGAGAGAGGGTGTAATTAAGATACCTACATACATAATATACGTACATATGTATATATATATATATAGAAGCATACACATGCATACGCATGCATATATGCATGTCATATCTGGAGGGCCCTAGACAGACATTTCATGAATCCTGCAGATCTCTGTGTGTCTGGCACAGACAGCGGAAGTGGAAGCGGCCTCCAGGAGAACCTCGACGAGAGGAAGCTGCCCCGCATCGACGGCATGGTGCAGTGGCGTCCAGGAGTTGTAATCTCGCACGAACGGCTCAGGGGCACGAACGAGTTCGTGAAACACGAAACTGCTTCGGTCATGAGTGTATAGGATGTACCATGGAATAGTAATGCAACAATTGTAAGAAGCCAAGCACATCATACGCTCCTCATAAACTCCTGGAGACAGTAGTGTGCTTCATGTAGTGAAAAGAAGAGCGAAATTATCCGCAACCTATATAATGTTCTACTTATTCAATTGACCGTAATCCGCTCCGTTCCTGTATTCGGCTACACCTATGATTGTAATGAAGTGAGAGAAACAAAATGAAACAAAGTCAGCATGGTGTTGATTAACTTGTAAGAGACAACACCACGCTTTCAATGTTTTGAAACATTGGGCATTCATATATTTATTACTCAGCTACAGCTTTTGTTGGCATTTTCTTGCGATCATAGAGCGATTTATCTTTGTAGTCTGTTGAGTCTCTTGTGTAAGCTGGCGCACGGTTTTTGTGCATTTAAATTAATTGCGTGCTTTGCAAAGGAACCTTCTTACGTTTCTATTGTGTGTTTCTTTTCAATGAAACAAGCCTGCACGTATTTCTTTTCGTCTTAACTCAATTTAACAAACCACAAGAAGAACGAAATGTTCATTCGAACTTATCACTACGTTCATTGTTGTTTGTATTTTTAAGACTGATATTGCTACCACTACTACTACTACTACTACTACTACTACTACTACTACTACTACTACTACTACTACTCCTACTCCTACTCCTACTCCTACTCCTACTCCTACTACTCCTACTCCTACTCCTACTCCTACTCCTACTCCTACTCCTACTCCTACTCCTACTACTACTACTACTACTACTACTACTACTACTACTACTCCTACTCCTACTCCTACTCCTACTCCTACTCTTACTCCTACTCCTACTGCTACTGCTACTGCTACTGCTACTGCTACTGCTACTGCTACTGCTACTGCTGCTGCTATTGCTACTGCTACTGCTACTGCTACTGCTACTGCTACTACTCCTGCTACTACTCCTGCTACTACTCCTGCTACTACTACTACTACTACTGCTGCTACTCCTGCTACTACTCCTGCTACTACTACTACTACTACTACTACTACTCCTGCTACTACTACTACTACTGCTACTACTATCGTTACACGTAATTAACGCAGAAAGACTATGCGCTTCACTCGTGCTATTGCATTAGCATTAGGACACAATGGAAAGTCCGACGAGAATAGACCGTGGTCAAGGCTCGTTCGTAAGAGTCTGTCGTGTGGTGTTTCCGTTGCCTTGCTCCCTCTAGTTGATTGAAAAAATGACAGGCGCTAGACTTCACTTCCCTTGATTTCGGTAACAGAAGGCAACAGAACGAACCAAACAGTACAAAAGAACGGAACAAATCATGAGCCGAACGCAAAAGCCAATAAGAACCGGTTCACTCACGTTACATTATACGTCGGGTTGCTTATTATGTTCAATCACTTGTTTGGAAACACTTCTCATGAGACATAGAATGCTCAGTCATCCGTGAATCCTGCTGTCAATAGTAGTTGGCAAAAGCCAGCCAGTCGATTGCCTTTCAATTTACGTGAAAGCAGACCTTGGCGGGCCTAAGTGTGAGTCTGTCGTAGACTTTCAGGCAGTGCCCAAAATGCGGGATTGAGCTTCAAGACCCAAAGGAAAAATCTCTAACATTAGCTGCCATCCATTGTCATCGCATCTTCTTACCGAACACCGCCAAGAGCGTGAGGCCAAGCCCGGTGCCACCTTACCCGACAAAGCTTCACTCCTAGTCCGAATGATTCAACCGAGGCCTGAACCAATTGCCATTAAATCAGCTTTTCAATGGTATGTATCTAAGACCCAAGACGCAAATCTCAACAGCCGACCGTGCAGCCCCGAACAAAGAACCCTTATGTCGGCCCTCTACTACAAGCCCCCGCCCTGTCTGTCGACGGTAGCATCGAGTCGAAGAAGAATCTGCAGTGCCTTGCCAGCTTTAGGGATGAGGGCGTCAGACTTAGAGTGTAGAGTATGGAGCAAGATGTCTCGTAAAAGCCCAAGGGATGCAAAACATCACAACTCTTTGGAGCGGGATCGTATCAGCTGTTCTGTCATCGGAACAGGCATGATTCAGACTCATTCAGACATGCTGGTTACGAAGTTATCTGCTTCATGCACTGCGCAGGCTTCGTACATGGCCTGTCATGTGTCTGGGCTTTGAGCTCTGTGTTGGATGCGCTTGATGTTGTCTCTGTATGCTTTGGTTCTCGTTGTACAGCCTACGTACTGGCCTTGCTGGTTCTGTTGGGCAGAACTTCATGAAGGTGAAAGAAGTTAAGTTGGCAGCACAATCAATCTGAGCTCAAAGCCGATGCACCTCCACATCCCTATTCAGTCGTCTGATTGCCCACTTCACTCGGGATGGAAGCAGAAGAAACGAAATGAAAGAGAGCAGTGATGACACGCACTACACTACACGGGCCATCTGCATTTTTGTACACGGATGCGCCGAATCCTGTCTGAACCCCACCTTGACCTGCAAACCTCGGCGATTCGAACATCTGCAAGCAGTGATGTCAGCATGTGTTTCAGCAGGCGTAGAGCGACACAATTGATAAACTAGGGCAACGCAATGTCTGCAGACAACTTTCATGCTGATGAAGAGCCTCGACACTGCTGCTTCTAGCCGCGCAATGCAGGGGAGTCATCCCGTCTGACCTGCAACAAGTTCGAGGCTGACCTCATCATCAAAAGCTCAGCAGCGTCCGAACTCAGCGAGGCTTCTTGCTCTCTGAAGGTCCCTAGATCGGTCCAGACTGTCCGTCACAACAGGTTCCTGAAGGTTTGATGTCAAATCCGCCTTCTGTCATACTAGACACCGCAAGGCCTTCCGACTCTCTCCTCCGCACTTTGCGAAAAAGCGACACGTCTTGCGCTAAAGTGAGTGACAACCCAGCAACGAGAAGGCACCGACAGTCCAAAGGTGTTGATAAGAGTTTCAGCATCAACAGAAATCCATTTCAGTCAGCACACCTGGTTCGCTGCTCCGAGAAGGCCTTGAGCTCCAACCTCGGCGGAAAGCTCCATACTGCGTTGCACGGTACTAGATGGTACTAGTACGTGCTCTGAGCTCTGATATCTCTGAAGCACCAAGACCTAGATACAGTATTTGTATGGCGCTGACAGGCTTAAGAGATTGAGAGGAAGCCCTTATATACATCCTTTAATGCAGGCTTATGCATTGGGACTTTGTTCTCAGAACTCGGGGGGGCGTGGGCCCCTTAGTGCCCAGGCATTTCAAGCCTGCTGGAAGTATGAAGCTCGCCTCCCGCGAGGGCGGCCTACTCCGCAGTTGCAGTGCTGTGAGTACCGTTTGGCATGTCGTGAGCCAACATGTGGTTCGCGCGTGACGGGATATGACTGGAGCTCGACAGAAGGATGTGCAGAAATCACAAACCCCATCCCGCCCACCTAAGCGTTGAATAACGATGCAGAGCCAAGCATGAACTCCAAAGTCCCAATTTACCTAATCATGTGCAAAACTACCCTACGCCTTCCTGCGCCCTACCTGCAAACCAACTATCATGAACCATAACTCGGAACTTCCAGGTTCAACCAATACCTCCAAGTGAATGCAACGTCTTCCTCTGCAACTTTGGAGTGTCAAAACCCCGGACACGTGTTGTGCCCCTTGCACCAACACTTTCTCACTGGGACCCTCTTGGACCGTCCGCTCCTCCCACCACTCCGAACAATGCCGCGCTTTTTCCCTGCGCTTGCGCTTGCGACCTGCAGTCGGCTGCATTCGGTCCTGGCAGGGCATGTTTAACGTAGCTTGTCGGAGGTTTAGGAAGTTTAAGCTTCAGTGCTTAAGGTCGCAATGTTCTCAAAGACTTAGGCTTGAGGCGTGCAGCTTGGAATTGGAGTCTAAGTTTTAGTAGTGATTTAGTGGTACTCCAAGCAAGAGAAAGCAGGTTCTGAAGTCTGAATTGTGCCAGTGTGCCTGCGCAAAGCTTTTATCCCCGCCGGAGCTGTCCAGGCCCCAGGTTGCAATCGAGCCATCACCACAAAGAGCTGCAAAGGCAGCTCTAGTGGCTTGTATTTGCTGCACATTCCGCAGCTGATCTTGGACAGAGTCGCTGTCGCCGCCGGAAAAGCTGTTTCCCCATGTCACGACAGAGCCATCGCTTAAGATAGCCGCGAACGAGTCGTTCGTCGCCTGGATCTCTTGTACATTGCTCAGCTGGTGCTGGACTGAAGCGCTGTCACCACCAGACTCGCTGCTCCCCCACGTCACCACAGATCCGTTGTGCAGCAAAGCAGCGAATGCTGCGTAGGATGCTTGAATGTGCCGCACACCTTGAAGCTGCTTCTGCACTGCAGAAGTGTCTCCGCCATAGCCTTTGTCACCCCAAGATACGACAGACATGTCTCCCAAAACAGCTGCGAAAGCGCTCTGTGTAGCCTGGATGTGCTGCACATCCCTCAACTTTGCCTGCACAGAGCTGCTGTCGCCACCAGCGTCACGGTTACCCCACGTCACAACAGACCCATCAGCCAAGATAGCAGCAAAGGCAGCTCGTGTGGCTTGTATCGCTTGCACACCTTGCAGCTGAGGCCCGAAAAAGAAAGCTTCTGCGAATATGCGAACATAAAAACACCGAAGAGGCTTCCACCCTGGGGTCCACCCTGGGGCTCCTGCAACTCGCGCCTTGTAACTGCTGCCGCACGTCACTGCAATCCCCACCAAAATTCGAGCTACCCCACGTCAGGATGCTGCCATCTTGCAGAATGGCAGCGAAGGCATGGTTCGAAGCACTGATGCTCCTTGCACTGACATCTTGCCTGTGGGACTCCAGGTCTTGACGGGCGAGATGACCCCATGTCGCCAAAGATCCATCTTCAAGAAGGGCCGCGAAGGCTGTCAGGGAAGCCTGCATAGGTCGAACGACAGGCGTGCTTTTCGTATCTTTATGTTGGGCTTCTGGGGTTCTGGAATAGTGGATTGGTCTTGAGTTCAAGACCCTTGATACGATGTCTCGCCACAAAAGCCAAAACATCGCGTGATGCCTGGACTTGGCGAACCCCATGCAGCTGGGACTGCCGTCGTCCACCTCCTGAAGGGTCGCCCCAAGTCACAAGCGAGCCGTCACGTCGGACGGCTGCGAAGGCAGTAGATGTTGCTTGGAGATACCTGAGCGACGGGTCGGGGAAACGGTCTCCCACCTCATGCCCTGCAGCAAAGAAAAGCGAACGCAAACGTCTGTTGTGGCCTACATTCGGCTTGCTCGCATAGCTAGGCGATCTTGGAACAAAGATGGCTAGCAGGCTGAGCTGCACGACTTCGTACAGCTCCTCCTGCACCCACGTACTATCGGTGTTTCCCCAGCACACCACTGAGCCATCTTCAGGGCACATGAACCGCAATTTCGACAGTTGGGGTCCGGAAATATGGGAGTCGGACTAGAACTTGCTTTAAGTGCAAGGCAGGCTTGTAAATTCAGCTCTTACTGGTAAAACTTTAGCCCGAGGCGGCACCAGGTAGAAGAGCAACAAATCCAGAACTCGAGGCAAAGATTTGCTGCACGTCGATGAGCTGCTCCTGGTCTTCCGTCTCTGCTGTAAGCTAGTTTGAGGGCTTATCTCGCTGATTACAAACAAAGCAAAGAGCAAGAGAGAAGGGCAGACAAACAGATCGATGAACAGACAGACACATGGACGGACGTACGGACAGACGGGCGGGCAGGCAGACGGACGGACAGGACCGACGGACGGACAAACAGGCAAACACACGAACAGAAGAAAGCCCAAATACAAAAGTCGCAAGCCGACAATCCACCGGCGCAAAGAGCAATGTGAAACACGAAGGACATCGAAGGACTGGATGCTTTGACCAACTTCTCGCGTTGATCCCAAACGGAAACAAATGAGAATCAGCTCCAAGACCGCATAAGCCCGCTTTATGACTCTTCAGGTCTGTGCGACCCTGGCCCTTCCTGGACGGCGCTGCAGTCGCCGCCATAGAGAGGCTCACCCCACGCCACCACGGAGCCGTCTGTCAGAATGGCAGCAAAAGCCGCTGAGGAAGCCTTGGGAGCGGGCTGTCTGAAGCTTCAAGGTCCGAGTTCTGGGAGTTTGCGGAACAGAAAGGGTTTGCTTGTTCAAGCTTGAGGTGCAGGGTTTGTTGAGGCACATCGCATGGACATTTTGCGCAGCGATTGCTCAGGCTTGTGCCCTTCACCACTTGCCGCATGTTGGCACTCGGCTCTGTCTAGAGAAGTTTCGTGGTTCAAGGCTCCCCGATCTCTGTCGCAAACCCTGCACCCAAAAAATTCAAAAAACTAAATCATGAACACTCGGTAGCTCAGGGGGGCATGCCTCAAAACACAAAATCGCACCTCCCCCAAAACAGCGTGTTAACAGTACGGGTTCTTACGTTTGGAGCAAAAATAAGAGAGTGGTAACACTCAATCACACCTGCGACGAGAAAGGCTAGGCAACGACTGGAATGCGCAGTAAGCAGACACTGAACCTTGGCGGACACGAACTTTCTGAGCACTATGATATGCCCCACGCTTTTTCCGAAAGAGGGGGAACCATCCCATGGCCGAGGTGCTGCTATGCGCACCGGCTGTGCCCTTAGAGTTAAGGCGTCTCCATCTTCCAGTCCGACCTCGCCGATGCTGGCTGCTGGGTCCAAGATATCTCCAGAGGCGTTCAGCAACACCTTGGATTTGCGATGGCTGTTGCGGCAGGGTGTACTGCAGCCTCTGTGGATACAACAGCAAAGCACAAGCACGAAGCTTTTCAAACAGAGCACGAGGCACGCCTTGCCCAACCTGCAACTTTTTCTGGGCTCGCTGTCGCAGCTCCCACATCGAGGAACTGATAGCCGCAGTTATCCGCGCGGTTTGGCCACTCAGTAAAGAAATCTCAAGGGTCACGGACGTCATGGATGTTGTAGCCGAGCTGCTCCAGTCTTGTTGAGGTTGCCCCGACGGACCAGCCGGCTACAGAGATGTTAGTGGCTTTTTGCTATATCCTGTCATGAGCTTGTAGAGCCGAGCAATGACTGCAAGGATGGTGTCGAGTATGAGCTCAAAGCCCTGTGTGATGATTGGGTAGGGTTTTCCGGCTGAGGGCCCTGCGCTCTCATGTCGCAGCAACTGGCAGCTCGACGATTGGTGCTGGACAGTTTAAGATACTTGGTCATACTTGATCTATGTCCCGAACACAGACGACAAAGCTGAAAGACATTGCGCTGTGTTATGGTATGTCAGAGTGTATGATGCCCTCACTGCGAGAGCTCGGGGGCGCACAGGTTCTATGGTCCAGGATCAGAAACCCAAGGGCTAGACCAGACCCCACAGTCTCAAGACAGACACCGCTGGGAATGGTCCCATTCAAGAAGCTCGCAGGAGCTCACACCCGTTTTAAAAGCCTTCTTCCTTACACTTTGCAAACCCAATCCTTGGGCCGCTGCAAGAATTGGAGCAGCTCTGGAGTCTTGCACTGCGCGGCAGCATGAATCGGCGCCAAACCATCCTGGCGTAAAAATATATGAAGTCCAAGCTCCCAAGCCCAAAACTCGATTCGTACTGAACCTGCCTCGCCCTCGAAGAAGTTCGGGTCCGCTGTTGCCTCTAAGGCAGACACGGCGCCAGCGAAGTCGCCTGCTTTCCTTGGGCTCTGGCTGGAGAGGGACTCCACAACCCCAGCCCCTTCATCCATACACCATACAGCATGCGGCAAACCCACAAAGCCTGGACATCCCAAGCACCCGAAGCTTCAATGCCCAAGGCGCATGGCCCTGCAACTAACTAGACGTCTGGGCATTCCAATGAAGCTGAGCAAAACTCCAGAATAAGGCCTACAGATGCCTACAGTCAAAAACCCCGTGAACAATGCTGCAATCCCCAAAGCCCGAAGATTGAAGTGAGTAGGGTATGAGGAGCCTATCATTTGGTGGGTCCTTTCGGTCTTACTTACAGAAACCCCAAGGCGTCGGTCTTCACAGGTGGTGGAAGTGAGTCTGTCTACGCAGAGCGGGGTTCAAACTGGCTCGTAGTGCTTGCTTGTCCCACGGCGAGGTCAACTTCGAACAATGCGAGTCTTGTGCTTTGGAGGCGTCCCCTTAAACGGCTCCTTTACATTAAGTGTGGAAGGCAAGCGGCTCTCGCCGTTGGGAATTTTTACACTTGCACTACTTGTGGCTCGCTGTCTGAGTCACAACCGCACCGAACTTGAGACCTCCGCAACATGTTTGCGAGCGCGCCACGCTGCCTCGAGTAGGTGGAAGCCAGCTTCGTCCTGGTACCTTGGCTCGGGGCTGTGTTGGGCTAGGTTCCGGATGTCGCCTGGGTTTCACGAAGCCTGAACGTTCGAACCTGAAGGGCCTGACAGCTACAGTGCCACTTTATATGCAGCTTTTGGGCTGAGAGTTTCGCTTTGCACAATTCCGACAGCAATCAACAACTAGCCCGGAATCCGTAGCGTGCTTGAATGAATCCTAAGCGACAGCAGGCACTTCCCAGCCTTGTTCGAGTTCCTTGTAATTCTTCCGGATGTCCCAGCTCCTGTCGAAGCCCAGACTCTAGACAGATGGCTTGCAGGGTGGGCGAAGCCGAGCTCACGTGCCAAGAGCCGGAATGAGGCATGCGACAAGCCTCCGCAATCCTTACCAACCGAAGTATTGTCGAAAGTCTCCCATCCTCACAATTGTCGGGTCCTCCAATGTCACGTTGTCTTTGAGCGGTGAGCCATTGAAGTAGAGATGCAGGACGTATGGATTGAGTTCGCAGACGGCCCACATTCTCCTTAGTTGGTTGCAGGAGCTCAAAGCGCGACCGACGGCTTCTGGGCCTTTGGGGATTCCCATTGTTGCTGAAAGTGGCGGGTGGTGTCCCCTGCCGAGATGGGAGTGGTTAGAAGCGGCGGCTTGAGATGTATATCCCTTCAGTGTCAAGTTTGGAAGGGCTTCGTTTTAGAAACTCCAGATTTGTCCTGAGCCAGTAGACTAAGACTGGCTATTGGTCCTTGGACTCGGGTTCCATTCCGCGCTGTCCGCCACGGCTCAGACAGCCAAGGCTCGACTTCACGTCTTTGATGCTGTAGGATTTCAGCACCTCAACTTTTCAATTACTCATGGTACCAGGCATCACTGCACCTTTCAAGTCGCGGCACACGAAATGTCCCAAGGATCGGCTCTCAGTCTGTTTGCAAGGCTTTAAGAACTTGAGACGCTCTCGTAAAAAACCTACAAGAAGAGAGCCCGGAGTTCGCTCACATCTAGCAGCAAGCTAGCAGCTACTGGTAGCATCTTCGGTCACTTGCCTGTTCTTTCTCAAAGATTCTTCTACATGCCTGTCTTTCTCACGTGCCCGTTTGGTTTGCACAATCACGGTCATTGCAGGATGGCTCCATACTCACATGCTGAAAGTTTCCAACTAAGACTACTTTGAGGAGCATATGATCATAGAGCATGTCTGCGGCTATGATTTTAAAACTCCGGATGCGCCATGTGAGCAAGAGGCTGATTTGGTCAAGTTCCTTTTATTCTCTTTCGGAACGGAAGGTAGCTTAGGAAAGCTTCCTGACTCAACGGCTCTATGCAGCCACAGGCTCTTGTACCACAGCGAGTCTTAAGCTGCCGGGCTTGTCTCGCAAAGAACGGCAGCATCAACCCCCATCTTCGAGCATAAACTCCAAGGTCCGAAACACATGCCAACAGAACTCGATGCAAGAAAGGTTTTGAGTGTCGCAGCCGCAGGCACCTTTATGTTCACGTGCATGTGGGTCGCCTTGGCTGCCAAGAACGGTTGCGTCGTGTAATTATTCGTTCAGCTCGAGCACTGACTGTCGTTTTCCCTGGGATTGGGACTCGATTCCTACGAGTCTGGGTTTCCACAAAAATGATGCTTCGGTCGTAGAACTGCTAGACTGCAGACTGCTGTGAAGCAGTACTTTCAACCACCTCCTCCATAAAATGCTACATGCAGAACCCCTCCATCCCCAAGAATTGAAAACTAACCGGCTCCGGAGTTCAGTGATTTCGATCTTACGTCCATCTCTGTGACGTTTGGAACTAAAGCTATGTTTCAGACTTTTTTTGCAGGGTTTGGCCCTCCGGCGACCCAGGGTTCGCATTGTTGCCGGCCCAGTTGCAGGATGTGCGAACTCGCCGAGAACACCGTCAATGCGCAAGCGGTATTCGCCATCTTCCAGCCTGTGGGATGACACCAGAACTGGCCTAACACACCTACTGCTTGACAGGAGAGAGCAGGGAAAGCATGTACCCAAGCATGGAGGAAGCAACCCAAGAGCCCAACATCGAACCTCCGTTACCGTCCCAGGTCCAACATGTCAAGCCGCCCGCAAACCTCTAACACAAAACTGGTGCAAACTGGGGCAGCCGGACCTGAAAGCGTCAACTCCTCAATAAAAAAAGAACCCCTGCAAGTCCACAACAGGTAAACAGCCACGAATCTTGTGTGGGCTCAAATGGATCTATTGGGCTAACACTTTGAGGGACTTTTGACTTTGGCCTTCCACGGCCGACCCAGTTATACCCTCAGGCTTAGCGGCTCTTCCATTTCCACTTCGGCCAGAGCTTTCCTTGGAGCTTTCCGGAACTTCAGCAGCCCGAAACCCAGAGGACTAAATGCTATGCCCGAAGCCGTCCTGGGATTTCTACGAGATCCCACACAGCTCGCCTCGATGACTGAGGATGTAGCGAGTTTTACTTACAGGCTGCCGAAAAAGCGATGTTCTCCACCCTCAGACTTCACGCGGTATTCCGTCTTCCTGTCTGCTAGCGTCTCAGTCGCTGAAATCTCCGGCCCCAGAGTCTTCACACCACACCTCGGAACCACCAAATCCCATCAGGGTTCAGAAGAAGTAGTCGACCGACAAGGCACGTGCCCCCTTGGCAAAGCGCCGCCTCGAGGATCACCTGCTAAGCTCCGCAGGGTCCGAGGCCTTGGGACCCTTGGAGCTGGGGATGTCGTTGGGCCATGATGAAAGCATGCTTCCGACTCTCAGAAGTCTCAGACAACCCTGGCTGAAGCTCTGTCCTGCTGCTGGTTTCTAGGCTTGGGGTTTCGGGTCCGGTGGGCATTCAAAGCATCCTCGCACTCCAATTCAGGTGCAGGGCTGCAGGGCCTGTAGCTGCTTGCGATAGGCATTTGTGGCTAGATTGCGCCAGTGTAGACTGTGTAGCTCGCACGTATCGGACATCAGGCATCGGCACTCCGAAGGCCCATGGGCAGCCACATCCGGACAGAAAAATCAAAGCCGCCTCGCTCTTTCGCCGGTGGCGAACAGGGGGGGGTGGTGCCTGGCACAGAGTTTTGAGCCCTCTTCAGGATTTTCGTTTGCACGGCATCTTACTTCGGCGTACAGGGCGGCAGCTTCAATGTTACCCATCACTGGTACCCCCGCTTCTTGCTCGCTCACGCGCACTACCGTGCTTCCTACCACCTTACTTCAACCAATTACTGGATGCGGCAGTTCGGGGAGGTCTGGATAAGTAATCAATTCCACCATGTCGGCATGGTGCCATGCCAAAGAACTCGGCCTGATCTGCACAACAAGCTCCAACTTCCTAAGATACAGACATACACCCCAAATGTTCGCTTCGACACGCCCGCCTCTGGTGGAGGTACCAACCCAGGCGGTAACGGAGCATCCTCCTTGGCTAGATTCGGTTTGTGAGAGCTGAGGGCAGGGCAGGTCGCGACTGATAGCAGGTGAAGATGCAGAGGTATGCGCAAGTTCAGTCCGAGGCGAGACTTTTGCGGCTTGCGCCGAAGAGCCCGTCTTCCAAGGCTTCGACGCGGAGAAAAGGAATCGGCAGGGCAACTATGGTCATAAAGCACGGACAGCGCCGATGACTCGGTTTACTTGCCAGCACAGTTTCGCTGACATGTCTGACACACCATTTTATTCTGCGTGAACGACTCTTGGCTGGATGATTAGCCTGGATGGGCTGCCGATCCCGAACCAACAGCCAGGAAATCTAGCTGCTTGTTTCTTGAACCTCCTGTTGTTTGTGCAACGATGAGGTGCCACTTGGTGCCAATCAGGCGGAAGACATGCACACATCTCGGCATTCTCGTATATGTATACTAAGCACTCTTTGCACGACACCTTATGCTGTCAAGCGAAGACACCACTGCTTCTCCGAAGTCGGCAGTGTCATCAGTTTCCATCGCGCTTGCAGCTTTGAGGAAGAACTCCAGTGTGTTAAGCAGTACCACTCGAACTCCGAGTTTGTGAAAAGAAGCTGGTACAGTAGGCAGATCGGGTGTCCGTGACTTTTGTGGCTCTGTTCAATCTGGCTTTCAATTTCCAGTTGCCGGTGCACATTCGCTGGGCCGATCGAGGCTGCCAGGGGCTCAGGCTTCAGGGGCCTCAGGGTCCTGTCGGTTTCGGGTTCAGGGGCCTACGGGTTTTCAGCCTTTCCATCCGAAACTGATTCCACGTACTTCTTGACTGAAGCTGTCACTGTGCAGATAGTCTCAGATAGTCACATGAGCTTCCTGTACTGACGTGTGTGTTCAAGGACCGGTAGCTTCGGCGGCAGTCATCGCAGCATTCCTGATAATAGAAGTACTAGTTCGTCGAAGCAGCTGTAGTCGTAGTTGTAGTCGTCGTCGCGGTAGTAGTAGTAGTAGTAGTAGTAGTAGTAGTAGTAGTAGTAGTAGTAGTAGTAGTAGTAGTAATCGTAGTAGTGGTAGTTGTGGTTGTTGTTGTAGTTGTAGTTGTCTTCGTCGCCGTGATCGTACTCATCGTCGTAGTAGTAGCACTAGTGATAGCAACAATAGTAGTCGCCGCCGTAGTCGTAGTAGTGGTAGCAGCAGAACATAGTGCTAGTGGTAGTGGTGGTAGTAGTGGTAGTAGTAGTAGTAGTAGTAGTAGTAGTAGTAGTAGCAGTTGTAATGGTAGTTAGTAGTTAGTAGTTAGTAGTTAGTAGTTAGTAGTTAGTAGTTAGTAGTTAGTAGTTAGTAGTAGTAGTAGTAGTAGTAGTAGTAGTAGTAGTAGTAGTAGTAGTAGTAGTAGTAGTAGTAGTGTAGTATAGTAGTAGTAGTAGTAGTAGTAGTAGTAGTAGTAGTAGTAGTAGTAGTAGTAGTAGTAGTAGTAGTAGTAGTAGTAGTAGTAGTAGTAGTAGTAGTAGTAGTAGTAGTAGTAGTCGTACTAGTAGTAGTAGCAGTAGTAGTAGTAGTAGCAGTAGTAGTAGTAGTAGTAGTAGTAGTGGTAGTAGTAGTGGTAGTAGTAGTAGTAGTAGTATGTAGTAGTAGTTATTATTATTAGTAGTTGTTGTAGTAGTAGCAGTAGTAGTAGTAGCAGCAGTAGCAGTAGCAGAAGCAGCACTCATAGAAGTACTGGTGGTGGTCGCGGCAGTAGTGGTGGTGATGATGACGGCGCAGGCAGCAGTGGGAGTAGGCCCCTTATACGCACGAAGCACATTTACGAAGCGCTACTTGGTTCTGTCATTGCTCTCGTCGTTTGTCTTCTAATCAATCCGTTTTGCGTGCTCGGAGTTTAATAAAATGCATGTCCCTCTTTGCGGAGCGCCTCACAGCTGCCTCGAGCTGGCCCAAGCGCCGGAACATGGACAGCATAGACCTGTTGTGTCTGTGATAGGTTGGGTCTGCATTGCGCATCGAGCTGTTCCTGTTGTGGTTGCGAGTTGAGACCGGCTGGGAATAACAGGAATCTCAAGCAGTATTTGTTGGACTTGGAACAAACAGTACGGACCTGATGTGCGATTTGATCCTTGCAGCATTTGCACCGGTGACTCCTGCTGTGAGTAGATTTGTGAACACAAAGCCTGCCTGATTCTGAGAAGCACACACTACGCAAGACTCAAAGCATGCCTTAAGCGGTCTTGTTGAGGGAGTGTTCTGAATAAGAGCCTACTGCAAGCAGGCTGCTGGCAGCTCTAGGCCGACCATAACAACGCCATTCCATGGCGGGAGCTGGCTTGTGCTGTGTCTGCTCGCTTTCGTTCAGATCTGTGGCCACTTGCTTCCAAACATCTGGGCATGTTGATGTTGACCAAATCGACATTTAGAGATTTTACCGTCCAACACAACTTATGACATATGAACTTCATGGGGCAGTTAGAGGTGGGAACAAAGATTTGGGTGGGAACACCACTAAAACCAGGTGACAAGCTCCACGAAATTATGAGGCTTTTGCTGGCAACCTCAGGCGACGGGGTCTCCAGACAAAGTTGCTCCGTACGGTCAGCAAAGCTTGATTTATTTTGGCTTCTGCTATCCCTGTTCGAAATACATAGATAGGCTTCGATCAATGTCCCCCAATCCTGCATCTCCCATGCGGCTACATGGTCGGAGATGGTCCGGTCTATCGCACGACGCTTGAAAATCATGACAGGGTACACGAATACACAAAATTCAGACAAATCGCTAAAGCTCATCTTGGCTGAGGTTCCTACGCCCCGCCCCCCTTATGTCAAGTAACTGCACAGTGAGTCAGTCAGTCAGTGTGCGCGTGTGTGCGTATCAAACAAGTCTCTTCCAATGCAGGCAATGCAAGATCGACCGATTCTTTTTGATTGGCTTCGCTCTGTAAGTCGCGGCTTCAGCTTATCTAGCGGCCAACGCGTCCAAGCCTGCAACCGGGATCGACATCTTACAGGGGCAAGCAACGAGAGATATCAAGCGCCAGGACCGAGCATGGGTTGCGGTAGCATGTTGGGTGCTTGGAAAATTAGCAAGAAGCAGCCCGTGTACGACTATCACCTGGAAGACACTGGAGTCACGATTATGTGTCAAATTTCCGGCGGTGATGCTGAAATCATATCCTTGCATGCCACCTGCCAGCGAGGCTCGCGAGGCTTATGCGCCCAACGACCCCCAGAGCAGGACCTGGAGTCTGTCTGCGGATTCGCAGTAAGCTGCTGCAGCTCGTTAATGACGGTGTTGATGTTGACCTGCAGCTGCGACCTTGCAAGGGCTTTCGAGCACTGTGCTTGTGTTTTCGTCGGCCTGGCTTTCAATCCGTGGATTCCAGCCACATCTGTTGCAAATTGCAGCCGTGAGAGAAATACGAAGGCATCAACAGTCCGTCAAGAGACAAAACATGAAACTCAATGATGCTTTTGCAGGAACACCACCGCCGCACGTCCGGAGCAGCGCTGCTAAACTCCACGTAAACGTGTACGCTCAACTGCTGGCACACCCACACCCACTTGGACTTTGCTGACACAATGACTGACAATGACTGATGAGCTGTTGGAACATGCCGAGAACGAAAAGAAGATGAACGTGGTGATGCAAAGCAAGCATGAGATGTATCGCTATGGCGGCAAACACATGAAGCAGGGTCCTACCCCGGCATGCCAAACACGAGGAATGGCACAGTACGGATATGTGCAGGTACGTTTGCCTGGAGTGCGGAGGGGAGCTTCGTTGGACAGAGCCAACCGACTCTGTCTGTCCAGCTGCGAAACGATAAAGGTGAACAATCTTAGCGGCCACTTACTAGGAGGATCCACACACACTGCCATATCAGATAATCTGCATCCAAACGCATCATCCAGTAGATGCATTGCAGAAATCGCTCG